GGATTTGGGGGGCTGGGGAATGTCAAGGCCAGTAACTGCTGAAGGAAGGAGGAGCAGATTAGCTGCTGGGATTAGCCCAGCCGCCAGCCCTCCCCGCCAGCCCTCCCCGCCACTCCAACCCGATTTAATCCTGAACCTTAATCCTGCCTGGAAATCCCTCCCTCCAGCGACTGGCCTTGACGGTGAGCACGCTGGGGGACCGGAGCCCCAGGAGGAACGCAGGGGGCAGGGCCAACTGGTGCCAAGTCTGAGCCAAGACCAAACCCTAACCCTGCAAATCCCTCCTGCATGGGAGGGCGTGGGGACAAAGGAAAAGTTCCGGGCCTGGAGCACTCCAGACACCTCTGGGCACCTTCCTCCTGGGTCCCCTGCCCTGACATGAGGGTCAAGGACATGGCGCTCTGTCCAATACCCTCTTTGGAACCCCCTCGCTAGCCCGGGCTTGGGCATGGGGTAGGAAGCGGGGCTCTCAGCCTGGCTCTGTCTCAGAGACCCAGAGTGAGCCACTGCACGGCACGAAGCCTGTTTCTTCGTCTCTACAGTGGTGGTGACAACCCTGTCCTCCCAAGCCCGGGAACCTGCTCCTCCAGCACCTGCTCCTCCCTCCATTCCAATTTTGCCTGTAGGCTCTCCAGAGGTCAGAGGTCAACTGTGGATGCAGGGACTGTGCTCTGTGGGCATCCTGGCCGGCGGGCCGGCCGCCCTTGCTAACATTCCACCAGCTGCCTGCACTTCCCCCGCAAAGCGCTTGTGATGACGCTCTTGGTTCTGCCTCCCTGGACAGCCAAGGGCAGGAGCCCCTTTGAGCAGAAGCCACGGCTGCCGCCTTCTCCTTGTGTCCCCAGAGCTCAGGCCAGAGTCAGGCTGGAAAAGGTGCTCAGAACATACGGGTTAGCTGGACAGATGAATTCACCAAATGGAAAGGAAACCCGACGCCTAGAGGGTCTGTAACCTGCCCAAGGTCACGGAGAGCCAGGGCGCGGTGGGACCAGCAGCGTCCTGCCTCCTAGTGCAAGGCAGCCCCGGCTGCCCCCCAATCCCGGCCATCCTGTCTCAGTCTGGCAGCCTTCTTCCTCGAGGGGGGCTCTTCAAAGGTGGGGAACAGGTTTGAATAGTCTGAGATCCCTGTCTGGCTAGCAGATGTGTGTCATGTTTAGAAAGGACTGACAACTTATCTAGAACCATGGTCTTAAGCTTCAGAATTTTCTGGGGCTTAGGGACCCCGTGGGGGTAGTAACCAGTGGGAGACCTGACGGTATCCTCGTGCCATTTCCACATCGCCTCTTGTGGGCCTGAGGCTCCAGGAAAAACAGGGGGACAGAGGGCTGGAATGTGGCCAGAGCCGGGGCTCCTGTCCTGAAAAAGATGAGGTCTGCGGCACAGCCCCACTGGGGGTACTGGGGACCAGCAGTCTGCACAGCTTCCACTGCCCCAACTTCAACGGTGACCTTGGCCGGGAATTCACCAGACCTGGACTTCAGTTTACCCACCTGCGCTGTGGGGAGGGGGAGAGAGAGGGAGAGTTGCTGGTCTCTCTGTGTCCTTCCTATTCTGAGGGACCCCCAAGGTCTCCCCAGTTACTCTCCAAAGGGCCCTACGAACAAGCAGCCCTATTAGGCGTATAGGGTCCCCTTCTGTCCTTGCCAGGTCTCTGAGGAATTATTTGCTGCCCCAGCCTGGTGGGCCCCGGGTTCCTGCTGGGCCACCCACATGGCAGCCACACGTCATGCCACGCTGACCTCCAGCTCACCTCTGGGGGTGCCCAGCCCCCTCTGGTCAGCAGGGCTCCCGGGCAAAATATACACAGCCCAGACCAGGCCTGTGACCTCGGGCGTTCCCTCCTGCTCCCTAGGCCCCCTCCCAGACCCAGCGCCCACTCCTTCTGTCCCTGGCTTCTTGCCACTCAGGCTAGAGGGGGCGGGGCGGGGGGGTGACAGCTGTGTAAGCTATGGCGGCTGCCCCTTCCTGCCCCTCCCCCCCAGCTGTCTCCCTCTCTCTCATGACAGCTGCCCAATCAAAGGGCTGGGGGCTTAGCCAGCTCCCCCCACATGCAGGGATCAGGTGTCCACCCAGGCTTTGTTCAGGAGCAAGAACAATCTGGGGGAGGGGAGGGCTCCTGGGGCCAGGCGACTCCAGTGGACTGGCCCGCCCCTTGGGGGATTCCCTCAGCTCTACTGGCCAGAGCGTCTGGACCAACTAGGGCTTGTAGACTCACCTGGGCTGGGGAGACAGGGGTCCAGCCTCCAAGTTCATCCCCCACCTCACGTCTGCCAACACGCTCCTCAGCACATCTAGCCCCGAACCTAGCAACCTCCTACTCCTACTCCCAAAGAAGCCATGCTGGCCACACCCAGTGATGCTGGGGAATGGCTAGGCCATCAGGCGAAGCAGGGCGTGGCAGGGGTGGACACAGGGCCTGGGGGCATCAAGGGAGTCTGACTCCCCTGCCCGTCCACTTCCCTGGGCATGCCCACCCTTCCTGATTAGCCAGGCCTCGGTAAGCACTGCCCCAGCATCCTCGACCTGGGCGCCCAGCCTCATCCTCACGGCCTCCCAGAATGGCCACTCACACCTACTTCTTGGGAGAGTCGGGGATAGGGAGGGGCCTGCAGGGAAGCAGACTGGGGCCTGCAGGTCCAGCCTCCGGTTCTTGACCCAGGGATGTCTGGTGGACTCTGTGCTAGACAGAGAAGGGAAGCTGACAAGCCGGCTGGTGCCAGAAATGCGATGGCCTCCTTAGAGCACCGTTAGGCATTCCCCCCAAGAGTCCTTACAGCCGACAGAAAACAAGGCAGGCCCAGGCCCAGACGGGGATGCAGGAGAAAGGGCACAGTTCTGTGGTACGGCCCCACCCACTGACACCCATCCCCTCACTGTGTCACCCAAATCGAGAAAGGTCTCTAGCTTCCATTCTCCATTCTGGAGATTGGGTCACTCTGCTGCTCAACAGCCATCCTTGGCTCCCTAGTGCCCAAAGAACAAAGCCTGATCTCCACGGACAGCCACCCAACCTTCATGATCTGGCCCCTGCCAATTTCGCTTGTCTCATCTCCACCCCGTTCCCCCCACACATGGCTGCAAACATGCTTAGCACCTCCAGGCCTCTGGGCCTGTGCCCAAGTTGATCTCGGATTGGAACGCCCATCCTCTCCACTCCCTGTCAAAATCCTTCTCAAATGCCACCTCCCCTGTGAAGCCCTTCCCAACCTTCCAAGCCAGATAACCACACAGGCCTCTGTGCCCCCTAAAGATACGCTTGCAAACTCAAAGGAGCCCCAGGCAGGCATTTCCAAGCCTGTCTTTCCACAACACAGAGAACTCCAGAGAGAGGCAGCTCCCAGCCCAGGGTGCAGGGAGAAGACAGGGCTTACAGGGCCTGGAGGCCTTATGGACCAGAGATGGGGCTAAGGGTCCCAGAGGAGCAGTGAGGGCGGGGTAAGAAGACCCAGGGCACAGGGGACCAGCCACATGGGGCAGCCAGGATCCTCCTGGACAGGGTTCCCAGTTCCCATTCCTCAGCCCGTTCCTTCTGTTACTCTGGGTCTAGGGGCTTCCTGGGCATGTCACTAGGGTGGAGGGTTTGCATCGTGTCTTGAGACTTCTAGGGGCCCAGAGTGGGTTTCCCCACGGGGAATGCGGACTGGAAGAAGAGCTGGGGTGTGGCAAAGGTTTCACAAAGCCGAGCTTAGCCTGTCACAGCTGGAAGGGCCACACCAGAGAGGAACCCGAGGCCCGGAGAGGAAGGGGCTTGTTTGGAAGGCTACGTGAGAGACGACGGGCAGAGCTGGGAGAACCCAGGGCTTCACCTGTGCCGCTCAGAGCTCTGTCTTCGAGAAGTCTGCGCCACTGGGCAATGGTGATGGAGGCTGGGGCACAGGCAGTGATGGGAGTAGGGAGGGTGGACAGAGCCTGTCTGGGGACACAGGGCGGGGCAAAGCCAGCCTCCCTGTGGCCTGGGCCTGCCAGGGTGTGTGGGCCGCCTGCTCCCAGCCCCCCACCCTGAGCATGCAAGAAGAACAATCCCCTTGTGTTTGGGCAGCCTGAGCCTGCATGCTGATGAAGGCTGGGGGGTGCGGACTGGGATGGGGGCGCCTAGGAGGTTGAGAGGGTTCCAGGGCCCGGAGGGGCTAGGGGAATCTTCAGACGGGAGAAGGATAGGGTCCTAGGTGTTGGCCCCGAGGCACTGAGGGTAACCCAGGAAACAGAGAAGGCCGGAGTTGAGGTTTAAGCTCCTATGGAGTTCTGAGGGTCCAAGAGCTCTTTGTGGGGAAGGAGGGCCCCTGGGGACACATGCCCTGTTGGTCCAGCATGACTATAACCCTCCTGGGCTTGGTGGGAACCAAGAGCCCACATTCTGGGAGGAGGGGGTGAAACCGACCCTGGATGCATCCCTTAGAGACCAGTCCCAGGGCGCCGGGGCCGGGTGGGGCACTGGGTGCCACAGGTCTCAAGATGGCCGGCCTGGGACAGGGGAGTGAGGAGGCCAGCACCTCCCTCCCCCGACCAGACAGGCACCAGGGCCAGGCTGAAGCGAGTAGCCAAGCCCCCCACTCCACAGGATTCCAGCTAAGAAGCCAAGTCAGAGCTGAGGGGCTGAAGAGTCGCAGGGCACCAGGGACCACTCCGGGCCTCCAACTGTCATCCCCACACACCCCTGGCTTGGAGGTTTGTGTCTCCCCCACCAAAGGCTGCAGAGAACGGGAAGGGGTGTGTGCTGAGCCCGAACCTGCAGGGGAGTGACAGAGATGGAGCAGAACCAGAACCCAGGGCAGGAGGTCGAGAGAAGAGCAGGTGGGATGAGGGCCTCGGATCTCGGGGAGTCTCAGGTCCAGGAAGCTCCTCCTTGGTGTTGGGGGCTCCTCTGGCAGACCAGCGCCCCCCACCTGTGCAGGCCTGGGCCCGCGTGGGACAAGGAGCTTGTTCCTCGCAGTCTCCTAGTCCCTCAAACCCGGGACCCCGGCCTGTGGACTCGGGCGCCGGCTCCCCGCCCCTGGCCGAACCCCCAAACTTCGCGGCCCGCGGTGCCCCGCCCGGCCCGCGCCCTACCTCGCTGGGGCTGTCCTGCGGCGGCTGCGGCGGCGGCGCGGCGCGG